CCCCTCCCGAAGCACGGAATTAAAAAATGTAGGATTTTTATCGTTTTACCACAAATAAGACAATTGCTGCAGTAATTGATAAGACTTCAATTTGTATGCGTCACATCTAGTATTTCCGTACAAAAATCATTAATATGATTGTATCAAAATGTCTGCATTTTTTCACCACATATCCGAGTTGCATTGCGAAGTTTGTTTTCAACAGAACTGTTTTGCGATCAGAACAAGTGAGTGACCAACGTAAAGTATATTCACATTAACACAGTTATGGCGGCTTTATCTATAATCACGAAAATAAATATAACAAAATTATGTCGTTGAAATGCGTCCCAAGCGCATATACAATATTATAATATAATATAATATTGTATACTGAGATGATGCTGATTGCTGATGGTTTGCCAATGTGCCGTTTGTTCGATCGGAAGTCACACGAGCACACATCGCATACGTGTATGTGCAATATAAGTATAAGTATATGACGAAGAACAGCCCGGTCGCATTGAAAGACGAATAGGATTCCGGATGCACAAGACGATTGCGGTGTATGGGTGTATAATAATATAATATATGTATATGTATATAGATATATGCACACAGTTTATATACATATATTATATATTCCTTACCGTCCAAAGGTGATATATTAAAATCGTTTCGGTCCAAGAATCTCCAGAATGTTTGAATAACTCGCAAATATATAATATATATTTATAAAGGTATTATTATATAGTGAGTGGGGCGCTGCATGTGTTCGCGAAACCGAACTTTGGATATAATACACATCATATATATTATTGCGCATTTTATTGCCACCTATACGGACGACGACACACATCGTTTAATCAAACTCCACCGCCGCCTTCAGACGTACTCTACGTGTACATATTATATATGTGTACAATGCAACCGACGACTTTATAAAATATGTATATGTGTTTGTATGTGTGTGTGTGTGTGTGTGTGTGTGTGTGTGTGTGTGTGTGTGTGTGAGAGAGAGAGTGAGAGAGAGAGGACTACAACCGTGGTGGGACGATATTTGCATGCACTGCAGTATGTCTGGAAAATGCTGTACTTATACGTGTTTCAGATGACAGACACCTATCACCGACAACTTCTTTGAAAAAAATATGTCTTCACTCTTGCAGCCCATAAGAGTAATATAATAATTCATATGCAGATCCTTGTCACGCGCGCCCGTAATAATAAAAGTGTGCTTCTATCTAGGTATATAGCTCAACTAGGGAAAAAAATTACAATGGGTATGTTGTTTAATTGTTAGGAACACTGTATATTTTGTCATCACTTGTTCATGTGTAATTTATTCAATAATATGAGTGTTGAGTATTCAAATTAATTGAAAAGGTCGATTTTATATTGATATATAGAATATACACCCATTATAGGCATTGACTTAAAAATTCAAAAGGCAATTTCCCCGACAAATTAAGAATAATGAAGACGTTAACAAGTGGTTCCACTAACAGTACAGCACCACTTTTAGCTGATGTTATAAGCACGAAATGCGATCTATAATATCATGAATTATATATTTATATATAATTTATTTATTAACGATTAGTTTCTTAGTACTAATTGTAGTCCAATAGTTTTCAACTTCATTAAAAAGGGTAACATATTTTGAATATAGGCGACCAAGTATAGAGGAAAAAAACTTAAAATATTATAACTTATAATAGCGCTATTAAATATAATATACCTACTATTTAGAAGCAGATTACATAATTATTATTCTATAGTTGACTATGGATTTAATTGAAATTTATTAAAGACTAAACAAGAGTTTTATATAAAACAAATAGACAATTTTAGAATTATAAATGTTGTAGTATAATATTTGAAAATAAACATAAGTTAATAACTGAATACAGAATATTTGTATTATTAATTATTTTTTATAATAAATTATTATTTATGAGTATTTTACGCTTATATTATGAGTAAAGTACTAAAGTGGCTCATCGCAAATGTACGAAATTTATGCCGAAACTAAAAAATTTATAGTTACTACTTATTATTATACATACCAGGGCTGTGGATTTAAAGGCGAAGCACGTTTGGGTACATTATATTATTTTTACCTGTAAATGTAAAACACGTTTGGGTACACAAACGTCACAAATACATAACATGTTTGGGTACATACGTAATAGGTTATCCCGAAAAAAAAGATTAACAATCTTTATAAGATATGGTTTATGAAACTAACTATATAGAGCCAACCTCCTCGTGGTGTCTCCTGGATAATACTAATAGGCTCTGAAAATTAAATTAGTATTTTTCTAGATTTTTCTAAATGTTAATTTTTCTAAAATCTTCAAGCTTTTCTGCCCAACAAATACATTTTTATCGATATTAATTTTTAAAAAAACTAATAATGATCGAAAATTCCATATGTCTATAAATAGTTCAACTTAAGTCGAAATTTTTCGACAATTGCATGGTGGATAGAATATACTTATATAAAACGACTCTGTTAAACAACTCTTACAATTAATAAATAATAATTAAAAACAGTTATCAATTTAATTTAATTTAAATACTTAATCAAAAACTACTGTCTTGCGTGAAGTGACCATAGCGAGAACTGTTCAACAAATGATTTTTGTATTCTATTTTGTTTTTCATAATTATTAACTATCGTAGATAATAATAATATTATCATATTATTACATTTTTTATATTATTTTATTATTTTATTATAATAAAATAAATTATATTATATGTTTACTGTATTTATCATTACAGGCGATGGATTCATGGCAGTGACAAAACGACCGTGGTCTTTGAGAAGCCAGTGGTGAAACGACCGTGGTCTTTGAGAAGCGATTGCTTCTCGATTTTTTTTAAGGTTTGGAGGTAAATGTTTATTAAAAACATAAATATTTTAAACATATAATAGGTACCTATATGTATAGCCGGTAAGTCAGTGGGTGGGTGTGCAAATTGTAAGTTTGCTTATGGGTTATTTTAGGTTCGTTTCGCCACTTGGATTCAATTCCAAATCTAAATGGAATAAGTTCATGGTGGGAGTATTCCATAAAGTATGATTCTATGGAGGACTCACTAGAAATAATGTTATGTGGCGCCATCTATCATTGGTCAATACAAATTTCTTTTTTTTTGTAATATTACGTTTGTTAGTTTGCCTATACTTACATTTCTAGGGTTATATTATACACACTTAAATTTAATTTTTTTTATAAACCATGGTACCTGTAAAGTTTTACATTAAATATCCTATCAATTAATTTCCAGCTGTAATAAATTTTAATATTAATTCTACAATACATAATACTAATTACTAAATGTCAATTCTTCATTTATTAAAAAAATTAACAATAAATATTAGATATTATAATTATTAGGTACCTATTTATCTTTGAATCATAAAATTTAAAATCACCTTTTATGGCTTAAAAATAGAAGTCCAATACGACCATGAAAAACCATGTGAGACTTTTTTCTATTTCCAAAATAAATATCAAATTCAGATCAATCTATGACTTATGAAGCGTGAGCCCATAAAGAACGTTTTTGATAAACAAAAAAAAAAGGTCACTTGCAGTTCACTTAAGCAATGTGAAATTAGTAATGAAATTATTTATTATTTTTATTTTTATTAAGGAGATTCAATTCTATCTGTATTTTTTACCACAGTACCTACACCTGTCTTATGCTAACTTCACCGTTTATCAAAATCTTTAGATAGGTAACAAAATATTACGATAACTTATTTGAATTTCAAATAGGTACTCATTAAGTTTTTTTGAAAAGACTTATCCACTTTTTTTGTAATTAAATTCACTAACCATTCAAAATTAAATTATTAGAGTTTGAAATTGTTAGTATACTTAATAATGAAGTTGAGAAATGATTTCAAATTTTAAGGAAACCGTTTTCAAGTAAATTCCACGATAAACTAGAATATGTTTTCAGAAACTTGATCGGATAAATAGCTGGTTAATACATTCGACCAAAAACATTTCCAAAAAAAATTCATATTCGTGTCACTATTCATTGATATTACGCACGTATACACTACATGTGTAAGAGACCACTGCTATTTATTTTACACACAATCCACTCAAGCTAAAGATCGCATAAACGCACTATACATAAACGTTTGCAAGACCCTATCAAAAGAACATGTTTAAATTTGCCTATATTAAACTCTTTTAAAACGTCCGGTATCGGATTCCTTTGAATAATAAATTGTATTTATCTTAATAACTGTTTAAATATTTTAACTATTATTTCGTAAATAAATTTAAACAGTTGTTAAATCCCTCAAATTGAAAAATAATTGTGTTTAAAATGAGAAATGTTATGGGAAAAAAAGCTTGTATATCTGTAATCGTATAAATCACGCCTATAATTATTAATAATATTATATTTTAGTAACTTTTTTTAATTAAATAGAACGCACAAGTTTACTTAGGTATCTTTTTTTTTTTTTAGTATTTTTCACAACACGCCTATTCCTTAATGTTATATTATAAAAATAATACATATTCTATTTAGTTAGACATTTTGCCTTACTACATATATATATATATATACACTTACTATACTGATAAATAACAATATACCATTATACCACATTACCTCCGAGGCGAATAAAGGCAGGTATGGTATACCTATACCATATGACGTATATACCTATATGCGTCTCATTTAGCGACATGATCTATCCACTCATGTCGGCCTCGTTGTAAATAGGTACCACATCCCAAATTAATTTTCTTCTCCGTTAAACTTGTACGTCCGATTAGGTGAGATCAGCTGGATCCCCCCTCGCCCTCTGCATTCAACTCTAAGCGACGTGGATTATTATAAATTGGTAGGTAGGTACTGCGGTTACTGCGACCGTGATTATTGTGACCGTTTAAAACGATTATACGCGGACCCGATCACGAGACGATCCCGCCGCAGTCGCGAATAATATCCGCACCGGTTCGCATTGATGCGATTATTACGACGATCAGTCAGTCAGACGGACGTACAGCGATGGCCGATTTCGCTTCGGTTATGCAAAAAGTGGACAAGCCGCCGCCGCCGACGGCCGACGCCCAGTTGATGGGCCTCCAACAGGACGACCTGAGGCTGTACAAGGCCCGGTGGATAATCCTGGTCGTGTACATGCTGTACTCCATGGCCAACGCCGTGCACTGGATACAGTACAGCATCATATCCAACATCACGGTGAAGTTCTACGGCGTGTCAAACTTCGCCATAGACACCACGTCCACCATATACATGATCGTGTACGTGCCCCTGGTCGTACCGGCGTCCTGGGTTCTTGACCGACTGGTTAGTGTGTTGTGCTGTATATTCCGTTCGCTCTGGGGGCGGTGGCGGTGGTCAAGCGCCAGCAGGTTTTTTTTTTTAAGGGGTGTTTTAAATTTTCATATTCATACACATACCTTGAGGGAGGGAGGGAGAGACTTCACTCGCGCTCCGTCTTAGTGCCATCATCGATCTTCACATTGATGTACAAACAAATATGAAATAGAATCAATAATCATAACATTATATTTGTATAGTAAAGCATTTTCCAACCTGTGGTGCGCGTAGGTACCACTGTTAGTACGTGAAAAGCTCATATGTGATAAAATCAAACTTTATAAAAAAAATTGGAGTGGATCATTATTCACATTAAATACTATTTAGTTTATTTGAAAGTAATAACAGTATAAATAATAATCGTACATATCTAATTTTCGTTTTTTATGCATTAAATGCTTATATTATTGTCCTGATTTTGAAATTCATGATAAAATAAAACCCCATACATGCAAAAAATGTTTTTTTGGTAAAGAAGTACATGAAAATTCTCGAACAGTGTAAGTTATGTTACGCAGATATAACATGGTTGAAAACCGTTGATATAGGTAGTAGGTACATATTATATTATGTTTGAGGGTGTTTGACTGTTTGAGGTCTCAAAACATTCACTGGCTATTTGTTTGTGAACTGTGGTAGAAGTAGTGAATAGTTATGATGGTAATTGAATATTTTTAATTCGATAGTCGTCGATTATACGCAATAGTTGTAATACAGTAAAATCACAATACACGCATAATAAATTGATAGAAATCCGGTGATCGGATATAATTGATCGACAATAAATTTACAACATTTCCGCATACAAGATTTGCAGTGGCAAACATGCAATGAAACGTGCTAAATTGCAGTTAATATCTAATTTATTAGCAGGTAGAACTAAACCGAGTGACATAGTTAAACTATAAACAAATCTATTATAATAATCTTCAGCAGCATTGACATTGAGATATGCACAAGTATTAAAATATTTTTATATTTATAAATATATAAAAAATAATAATGATAAATTTTGAATTACCTATTTCATATTAATAATTACATTATCGGTTATTCAGTCCCAATTCAACGCGTTGCCGGACATGACTATAATTTAGGAGCCACTGATTGTGTGTTCATATAGTTTTTAAAATATATATTTTTTTTTCCGAATTGTTAGTAAGTCACAATAATAGGAACTAGATCATTCCTAATGCAGTGAAGCCATAAGAAATTCTGCTCTAGCAGTTATGCCATTTTACGATTTATTTTATTACGACTCTTATAGTAGTGACTTTCCGACAACGTGTTAAAGAGTAAATTGTCAATGGTCCGACCCAAATATTTCAAATATACCGTCACATAATATTTGTTCGAAATGTATTTTGATTCGTGATACAACGGTTGGTGTCACATACGATATAAGTATGTGTTTGGTGGAAAGCATGACAGTCAGACAGCCTATGTAAACTATAGTGGAGGCTACTCGTGAAACATTGTAGGTGCGTATCCATAGGTAGGTGGATTTAGTAGTTTAGTATTATTATATATGACCTATTCTTAATATTATGTTGATATCGTTTTCTTTCTTCTGTGCGGATGATTGTTCTGGAGAATGGCAGATATTATTTAATTTTTTTTGATTTTTTGTCGYGAGAGGTGATGAGCGAAATGTTATCTGTGACGGTCGGGAATACTGATGTATATCGGATTTTTCGATACTTTTTGACCTCTGGAAATTTTCTTTAGTTTAGGTTCATTTACTCATTAAGTTTATGTGTGTTTGCAATACTTACGATTTTACTTAAGGATCCTTAAGTGCTCGAGTAATGATAATTTTTTTTCTTTTGTTTTTGCATATTCGAGGGATTTAACAATAGCAGTTCCTTTATCAGTGTACAAGGATCATATTGACGAGAGCTTTTATGTTATTACTTCCTCTTTGTATATACAACAAAGACTCCCAAACTACCCGCTTTCGATTTTGGTATAGTCCGGTTAAGTTAGTTATATATTTTAAATTTGAATATACTTGTTTACATTTCGCTTGTTGTTTTTGAAGTCTTACACGTATAAATGAGAGCTAATTGAGTTTCTTAGTAGAATGGCAAGACTTTTATCAATGTTTAGAAATGTGTGATTCATGGAGGAGTGCTGGAGATTCAATTTTGTTTTTTCGAAAACAGCTTGCAAAGAAGGCTTAAATGAAAATTATAATCTCGCTCCTTTCTAAGAAAAGCAATGTATTACATATATATATGATGTATATGAATATAATAATTTAACCGTGCAGTTTAATAAAACAACAAGATTCAGGAAATATTCATATTTTCTAGTAGCTGTTAAATTATGTAATTTTTGTTTTGTAGACCGTTGTGCATACACGTTCAAATCGTAGTGCACAATTATTGTAAATTTGTGGTACACCATGTGTGTTGTGATGCACATAAAAATAAGGTCTGCGCTCTGCAGTAGATATGATTTTTTTTATCAAGGTTAGTGTCAAAGATCGTTGTAATTTCTTGATGTTCGATATAAAGTGACATTATTGATGGTTAGTTGGCTGCACTAAGTATAGGTAACCTAGTGATTGAACCGGACCGAAAACTTCTTGTTCCCATTATTGCTCTATAATGTTATCAATTGTGCCTAAGTATCCAATATGTTTTTGATTATAATATATTAAGTGTATGATATATGTATAATATGAATCATAAATAATAATGTTATTGTATACTTGTTTTTTTATTTTCTAGTAGTAGTTTTCTTTATAAAAAAATGAATGTTCAAACAAATTTTTCCAACGAACTAAACTTAAAATTTAATGGCTGCTAGCTGAAGTATTTTATATTTTTAATCAGTATCTAAATGACAATTTAAATTATTACACTCTTTACAGAATATTCGTTAATAATAGACATAAATATGAAGAAAAAAACAATCGATAAATAAATAATAAAAAATAAAATAAAAATAGTTAATATACCTAATTATATATTACCACATAACGTAGAAAGTATAGTTCTTAATGTACATAAAATCTTCCAAATACGCTAAGTACATACAATCATAATAAATTTAAAAAAAACTTTTGATTAATAATTACACTTTTAGTAGAAGTATCATGAAATATATGACTTAATACTAATTCTAACTAACTTTAAAGCGTTTGATTGGTCGTGTTCGTATAAGAGCAATAAATTATTGGAAGTTATACACTAATTTACATTAAATTGACATATTAATCAGATAAAATGTGTTAACGTGTGGCTTGCAGGCACGTGCCTTCTAAATATTTTACAAAAGAAAAAAATAACTACCTTAGTTTATTGTTTATAATTTATGTTGATCATGTTGAAAGCAGAACACAAATATAAATTATTAACTAACAAATTGACAAAATTCTTAAAACTGCCTTTCAAGCATCATTCTCCTCATAACTTACAGTTTTATTTTTGAGCCTATGTAAAACAAAATTTCACAAAATATTTGATTTTGCTAAAAAAATGTTGTTCATGTTTGGAAGAACATATATTTATGAGCAAACTTTTTTTCACTTATGAAGTATCAAAAAATCAAATATGCTTGGTGATGATAAATGCTGTATTGAGAATTTCTACATGTAAAATTCAAAATCAAATCTACTAACAATAAATTGGTTGATATTATTTAAATTCAAAAACCGCATTAACTTTTACTTTGTATTTTAGAAAATTGTATATGCCGATTGTATCCGTCCATTCGTTACCAAAATATAATTACTATTGTTTGTATTAAGATTCTATAACCACGTTTCTATTCAAAGTACATTAATTATACAATCAAGTTGTACATAGCCATATTAAAAACATCAAAATATGAGTATTCAATATAGATATATACATTTAATGAATCTATGAGGAGCCAATAATAAAAATATGTACCAATGTCCAATTATAAAGGTTACGAAATTATTTTTTTATAATTGTATGACATGGAATTATAGAGTTTATTAAGTTGTTTTAAAAATTAAAATGCGCTTAAAAACCCGGAATTTAGCACACTCGCAGTTTTCTTAACTTAACTTGTCGTTTTATATAATTTTGAAATTAATTATTGCTATAACTTTGTATATAAACAAAGATACCTTGTTAATTTAATATAGGTACTGAACTTAAACAAACTAAATTTGATATGACCATAAGTTTGTGCTTAAAATAAAATAACATAAGTGTATTCAAATTGTGACCTTTCAATAATTTTAATATTTATTTTTTTTGGCCCTCAACAACAAAAAGGTTGTCGACCCCGGTTGTAAACGAAGACCTACAACGGTCCATATTACACAAGGCAATCAAATATTTTAAATTAACAAATCAAATGCTGTCAGGATGATCAATCGACTACATAATTTAATTATTTAACCTTAAACAATATAGTTGATTTAATTGTACCACCGTCGTTTGATAAATGTATTCATTATACCTACACTTAGTTTTAGCTCAACAATATTTTATGTTAAATATTATCATGTATTTATTTAAATAACTATAGATATAAAAGTACGTCAATTCCCAATCTAAATAATAAATTGTTTATAATTATCTATAAATTGGAATTTAGATTCATCAAAATACCTATCAAAAATTCATAAATAAATAATTCTTTAAATGTTCAAAATTCGATGAAAATTTCACTTAGACTTATTTTGCTGTTATTTCTTGACAACTGGTATAAACTTATTAAAAATCTGAATGAGTGAATGTTTATAATTACAATATATCAAAGTTATAAAATAATTTAACCAATAACAACTAAACGCCGAACGTGTATTTTACATAATACCTATAGGTACGTACGGATATACTACTTAAATATATAATATATATAATACTTTGTCACATATTTGACTGTAATTGTGTTTTAGGGTCTTAAAGTGACGATGGTGATGGGCGCTGCTGGCACATGTCTGGGCGCATGGATTAAGGTTTTTTCTGCTATGCCGGATCGGTTTATGATTACTCTGCTGGGACAAGGTTTGGTGGCGTGCTCACAAGCATTCATCTTGAGTTTGCCTTCCAGGTTAGCAGCGGTTTGGTTTGGATCTACCGAAGTCTCCACCGCTTGTTCTTTAGGTGTTTTTGGCAACCAGGTAAATGCGTCCAAACCTTTTATTTAGGACGGAACATGAGTTGATGATTCAAAAATCCATGTAAAAATAAAGTCAACATTAAAAAAAWATATATATATATAGTTTTCATAGTATCATCGAATGTAAATCAATTACAGATTAAACACATAATGTTCAAAACATATTTAGAACGATTTGTAAAGAATTTATTAATAAACTTAAAGTCAAAAAATGCCATCTTTTAACAAATAAAAAACAAATCCACAGTTTCCCTAGAATTACATTTTAAAAAAAAACACTTATATTTTAATATTGAAACTTAGTATTTAATTACTAACGACCTATGTATGGTAAAATACTAAATTGTAAATTTCTGTATAGTTTTATAATGTCAATTACTCAAACATGTTTACTACCTAGTGTTTGTGTAGGTCACTGTAATAGATACGTTAATTCAAATTCGAAGAAAAATCATTATGGTATATGATGAAAACGGTTATGTCAGTCAGCAGTATATTATATATTTATATTAAAGTAGGTTGAATTTTTGATTATGTATGGTATTAACCCTATAAGTTAATTTTGAAAGTTCTGTCTTCAAAGTTATTTATTTTTTAGTCACAACAATGAAATCCAATTTTGTCAAATTCCGGTATTGCGTATAAAAATTACTGTTTAAATTCAGAGTGGATAATAAATAAATAAGTGTTGATTTTACAATAATGCCTGTTTTTTATCTGTCGTCACTTGTCACCTATTAGGGCAGTAAAAAAGCTTCGTTTTAATACTTCAGCATCTTTTCTGGTAAAAAATGAAAATTTATTAGAGCTTTAAAAGAAAAAATCCAAGCGTTTTTAAAAAAGTTCCAGAAAACTCAAATAAATTAAAAAAAAAAATTTTTTTCCCAGAACGGTTCTTAGACATACCTAACCAATTTTGTTTTTTAGTGTTAGTCTAAAAAAATCTAGACATGCATAGAATTTTTACTAAATGTTTATTTTATTATTTTCTGTTCATGGTAAAATTTTCAAAATATTTTGAGCGACTTATAGACACTTGAAATTTTCAATTATTTTAGAATTTTTCCAAAACAAATATGTCAATAAAACTTTTTCAAATCTAAAACAAGGTTTTTCATACATTTTTATACTTAGCAGTTGAACGATTTTAAAGATACATTTCCACGACTTTTTTATAGGCATTCCAAGTTCGAATTTTGATCAAATTCATAAAAAATTATTCTAATTAAAATTGCATTCGTAGATTGTAGTAAAAAAGATATTATAATTCAAATTAGTAACTACTTAATTTGTACCTTCCTAATCAATAATAATAATAATTATATTAATTGTTTAGCCATTAAGACATTAAGTCGTAATAATATTAGATGCATATGTAATTTAACCATCTATTTATTTTTAATCAATATTTAATACCAAGTAGGTACGATTGTTATTGGTTTTATGGAGTATGAAATAAAGGTCAACTAAAAACTGTCGAGTTATTTTATTTTATACCTTTAATATGTACACAAATATTATGCTACGAGCACAAAAAAAATTACATCCTGTTTATCTAATCTAGTAAATATTTGAGTAATTACACTACAAATCATAACAAACTATAAGTATAGGTATGTACCCCTATTGCTACTTAAATTCTTTCTTGACTTTATGCAATCTTCCAGTACCGTTATACAGTTATATTTTCATAAAGGAACCTTTGACAGGATGTTACCAATATCCATAATTTATGTTAACGACATTGCCCTCGTAATATATATCTGGTTAAATTAGGTCCATTTATATTAAACCGTGAATAGGGGGCCAGTATATAGAAATAGGTCCACACAACTATATTAGGAGCACCTAAACCACACAACCGTGTATCAATAACAAAACCATAAAACGTGAAAAGCAATACATTTGTATTAAATGTGTGTATGGTTGCCTATATAAACTCTCTCATCGATTTTGAATTATACAAAAATATTATATTGAAGTAAAGAAAATCGAAAAAAAAATTTCATTACCCTACTTTTATTTATAAGCCTATGTATATTGCTATACAGGGTGTCCCGCGAGGATTTATCCATTGCAATATCGTACGAAATAATGGAGATATCAAAATTCTGGTTTTATAATAAGATTCATAGGGATATGAACTACAATTACTTCATTTTTAAATTTATTTTAATGTTTTTGTAAAAAAATTAAGAAATATATTTTTTTATTTAATTATTTCCAAAAAAATTAAAGATGGCCATTTTGTAGAGTATATATTTCTAAAAATATTGACGTTTCAAAATTTTATTTTCATTA